TTAAGTATTATGAGTACTTCTTACTAAAAGTCTGGTGTGAGTATTCAAGTAGAGATTATTATAAATATCTGTATACGTATGTATGTGTGTGCGTGTGTATATATATGTGTGTGTATGCGTGTGCATATATGTGTGTTTTGTGTGTGTGTCGCAAACGCTTATGTATTCAGAATTGTGTGCATAAATTAACGCGGGGACTCATAATATTTCACGACAGATGGCCTCCTTTATTGCATAGATATTTAATTTATTCCCAATAATCCGTTGGCGTTCCACACTTCTATAACTACGTTTGTCTATCTGTTCATCAATCGCGTGTGCGTGTGTATGTGTGTGCGTGTGTATGTGTATGTGTCAATGTTATTGTAGGGACTGGATTTGAATGGTAAAAAATCCTCATCTATCATCCGTTAAAATATATATGTGATGCTTTGATTCACCTGTACGTATATGAGCTGTGTGCCTATTGTCGTAGTTTGTGTGTGTTTGAAATTTTGCGTGTAGGTAGGTATGTGTGTATGTAGGTATGTGAGTCTGTGTGTGTTTGTTTGAAAGTTTGTGTGTATTGTATGGGTGTGTGCGTGTCTTTGTGTGTTTGTTTGTACCTCTGTGTGACGCAATGAGAGAGAAATAATACATTTATAGCCTAAACATAATCAGTAAAAACAACAATGCTCATAAAAAATACCAAAAATACACTGCGCGTCTCTCAGCCGCCATATTGTTTTTATTATTAATAATATCATTATTTTAAATTTTATTACCATATCCGAGGAAAAAAAACCACGAAAAGACAATAGGCAGAATATGGACAACCTCGTTATAAACCAAAAAATTAAATTATTAACGTAAAACAAATAATAACAAAGAACAAACAATAGCACAGAACAGATAACAACACAAGAAACGAAAACAGCAGCAGCGTCATTTTCAACGTCAACAGTTGCAATTAACGACGAATAAATAAATGAAATAACATTGTGAATGTCATCATATGAAAAAATGCGAAAAGAAATACGCCAAAGATACTATATAAAAGCAGCAAACAAACACACCAAAGACACTAAATAAAAACAACAAACACAGTGAAAAACAAGCAATAAGCAACAGCACTAAAATAACAACAAACTCCAAACACAACAACAATAAACATTCTGGAACAGACCAAATGACCACAACAAAACAGCCACCAATCAAACTAAACAACAACAGCAACAAACCAAAACACACCAAAACTCACCACACACCAAACAACTAACACACCACAACACACAACAAACACACCACAAAACAACACACCGAGACACATCAACATAGTTGTCATCGCCGGGCACTCGATCATACATACGTTAGCAGGGTATACTCGTCTGCCGTGCTAAGATAAGCCAGCCAAGATAAAAAAAATAGAAAAAAATCATAAATAAGAAAAATTGTGCGGCTGTTACGCATACCTGTTATCTATAACAACAACAACAACACAAATACACCAAACATAAACAATTCGAAAAAACATCTTAAATTATTAAGCAAGGCTAAGGCCTAACTTCACAAAATACTTAATTTTTTACTTGCAATTGTTCTCGGTTTCATTTTTATCGTTATTATTATTATTATTGTTATTGTTGTTGTTGTGGTTGTTGTTGTTGTTGTTGTTGAGATAGACTGAGCGGGAATGCGATGTTTTAATAAAGGAAGATAGCAAGAGCGGCCATTGAGCGGAATTAAGTTTTCAAAAATCTCATATCATCGTCTGTTCGTTTGATGCGGTGCTCGTGATAAAGATGATGATGATGGCGACGACGACGACGATGATGATGAAGATGATGATGAGAAAGAGGAGGAGGAGGAGGAAGAGAAAGAGGATAATCATCGTCGTCAAAAATAATTTTATCTTCGCATAGGCCCACGCAAGCATATTTTTGCCTGTCAAATGCAATCTCATTAAACATGCCCACTCTTTCTTATCATCATCTTCTTGAACTCTTCCTTATTACTATCTTCTTCCAAAATTGAGTAAAATTGGAAGAAATGCTAAATGAAATGAAAAATACTGAACTACGTATTGTACTTTAGATTTGTAGGGCTCCTTTACTGAGCTATTTTCAGAGGCTTTAATGTAAAAAGTGCCTCGTTTTGCCGAAAAAATGATTTTTAATTCCCATCGGTCTCTGAACGCCCGACGACTGATGTTAGTGTCCAACTTTCAAATCAAGCTGCAATGACTTCAAATCTCGGCTGCTGCTGTCTGCTGCTGCTGCAACTGGAAACATCCTCGCTACCAAAATTGAGACGTTTTGAACGGAGGCAGGCCTCATCTCCGTGTCTTAATCGATCTCAGTCGATTTAGGAACAACCAAAACTGAAATTTACATGTTTTTCAAATAAGCTGATGCTCTCCCAATTAGGCAGAAAAAGAGAAAAAACAAGAGAAAAAGAGAGAGAGAGAGAGAGAGAGAGAGAGAGAAAGATAAAAAAAAAGAGCTGGAGTGAGAAAAAAGATCAAGATATAGAAGAGAAAAAATGTATGTCTGTATGTGTGCGCATGTATGCATGCATGTTTGAGTGTATATTATAAATATGTTAACATGTATGTGTGTGTGTGAGTCTGTCTGTGTGTGTGTGTGCGTGTGTGTGTGCGTGTGTGTGTGGTGTGCGTGTTTTTGACCGATACTGATTGAAATGGAAAATCATTGGAAAGACTTTCTTCTTTATTAAAAATGAAAGGAATGGAAATATGAAGGAGATGAAGATTGGTGATTAGATGAGTGGGTGCAGTGAGAGATGGAAGGAAAAAACAAAAAAAAAGAATAAAAGAATGATACTACGAATGAAACTTTTTTTAAATAAATGAATGACGGAAAAAAACGAACGAATGAAAAGATGAAATAACAACAGAAGATGCGGGGTATTCATACAAATTAAATGTGAAAGGATATATGAAAGATTTATAAAAGACAGAAAATGAAGAAAAAAGAGTGAGAGAGAGAAAGAAAAAAAGAAAAAGAGAGAGAAAAAAAGAGAAAGAATGAGAAAGATAAAGAGTGAAAGAGAGATAAAAAAAATAAAGGAACAAAAAGACAGATAAAAACATATAAATATACCCATATTTTCAGCAACATTTTAAAAAAAGTATTTGCTCAGACAAAAACATTATTTTGGAAAAGAGGAAAAATATTGGAAAAAAAAGAGAGAGATATATAAATGGAAAAAGTGAAAGTAAAGTAATAGAGACGGTGAAATAGAGAGAGAGAGAGAGAGAGAGAGAGAGAGAGAGGAGAGAGAGGGGGGGAAAGAGAGAAAGAAAAAAAAAGAGGGTAAGGTAGAGGTAGAGAGAGACAATAAATCATCATGTTAAACAAACAATTAGTGAAGGTACCCACGGATAAAATGATGGAACCCGTCAGGCCAGCATCACCATGATGGAGAAGATGATGACGAGGAAAATGATGATGAAAATGACGAGGATGATGATGACGAGGATGAGGATGATGAAGATGATGATGAAAATGACGAGGATGATGATGATGATGACGAGGATGAGGATGATGATGGTGATGATGAAGAGAATGATAATAGCAAATATGAAAAGTATTGTCGCCAGTGTCGTGACCGCTGAAACCACAAAAAAAACGAGAAAAAAATGTAAAAGTCTGGAAATAATTGGAAAAGTAAAACAGAAAACATAGTCGATGATGTTGACAGGAAGAACAAAACTTTAGGATCTCTTTGCCTTCTAGTTTTCTGTCTGCCTGTCTGTCTGTCTGAGTGAGTGAGTCTACCTGTCTGCGCTTGTTTGTCTCTCAGTTTGTCTGTTTGTTCGCTGCATCTTTTTGAAGTTGAGAAATGCAGCGTCGAAAGTGATGTAAAAGATGAATATTATTATTATTTAGTGTTTGTAATAAAATAATAATAATAATTATTATTATTATTATTTCTATAATATAATAATAATAATTACTATTTTTATTATTATTACTATTGTTATGACGGTAATAATATTTTCCCTTATTAAAATTCTTGATTGATGGATTTATTGATTGTTTATTCAACGATTTTGTGATCCATGCCTGGAGAAATGAATGAATGAATGAATGAAAGAATGAACGAATGAACGAACGAACGAACGAATGAATGAATGAATGAATGAATGCATACATACATACATACATACATACATACATACATACATACATACATACATACATACATACATACATACATACATACATACATACATACATACATACATACATACATACATACATACATACATACATACATACATACATACATACATACATACATACATACATACATACATACGTACATACATACACACACACACACACACACACACACACATACATACATACTCATCGCTCATCGGTAGCACGTGCTAGCCGCATTTTGATTTGCTCCGTATTTTTTCTTAATTTCATAGTTTAAAATCGAGTATTTTGTTTAAATTTAATTTCATTTGATAGAGAAAATTTTGACGAATTTAATGATATAATTTGTTTGCGTTAATTATTTGAAGTTAATTTTTTCTCAATTAATTTGAAGTTGATTTAATTGTAAATTCTTGTTTAATCGACAAGAGAAAGAATTTAATTTTGTAAACGTTATAGGATAACCTGTATTGTTTTATCAGACTATCAGATATAGTGACATATTTTACTGTTGAATATGTCGAAAGATAAATGCAACAAATGCAAAGTTAAAATCAAAGAAAGTAACAAAGAGTTAATTTGTTGTGGCATATGTGGTGACGGCTACCACATCAAATGTATTCCGACCGAAGCTCAAGTCTTGACAGCAGTAGTATCCGATCCAAATTTATTTTGGCTCTGCAATAGCTGCGTTTAAGACTTTAAAGAAGGTTTTAAAAAGATTTGTGATCTGCAAAAATCTCAATATGAAATAATCTGTAAACAAGAAAAGCTTACTGATGAAGTTCTTTTCGTCGTGAGTTGGCTTCAATTGACGCAAAGTTAAGCGAAATGGCCAACAAAATTGATGAATTCGGTAAGTCGGTAACAAATGTAAACACGCAGATTAAAGATGTTGAAGGGGGTTTGAAAAAGAATTGGACTGAAGTTGTAAAGGGAACCATCAAAAAAGAAGTTAAATCGACTACGGTGGCTCTGAACAATGTCGTCAAATCAATTAAAAACAACGTCGAAACAATAAACCGTGAGTGCAATGTTGTGTTATTTAGGCTCAGTGAAGCTGAAAATAAGTCTGCTGATGCTCGCAATGATGATAAAAAAATTGTTATGAATTTGCTTTCAGTGATTACAAATGATGAAATCAAGGAAAGTGATATTAAGAAAATGTACAGAATTGGCAAAAAAGGTGACAACCCACGTTCGATATTGATTGAGTTTAAAGAATAGTCTATGAAAAACATGGTAATAGAAAATCGTGTGAGGATGAAACAATTGAGTGATGAATTAAAAAATGTCAGCATAAGCCATGACTGCGTGAGAAATGTAAAAAACTGGTAGCTGAAGCAAAAGATAAACAGAAACAGGAGTCGGGAGAATTTTTGTACAGGGTGATGGGAGATCCGTCAAATTTGAGAATAATAAAAATACAGAAATATTCAATAAAAAACTAAAGCATACTAGCTCTGATTGTGCGTCTATGGTTTTCAACTCTTCTGGTAATGTCAATAAAATTAGGGTGGGTCTGTTAAACATTAGATCTTTGGGTCCAAATGTTCATGGGCTGCTCAATGATGGCTTGGATGTTTTGATGCTTACAGAAACTTGGCATAAATCATCTGATAATATTTGTCTTAGTTTGGCAAAACCACGTGATTTTAGTTTTTTGGAACAAGTTAGGCTAAATGATCCTGGGCATGGTGGTTTGGTAACGTATTCCAGAAACCACTTTAAAAATGTGTAAAAATTCCATAGCCAGTGATAATTACATTTGAAGCGATATGTTTTAAATTGACGTTACGGAAAACTTCAGTAATTTTTTTGGTGATTTATAGGCCAGGTTCTGCTCCTCCTGCTAAATTATTTTTTGAAGAATTAATTTAAGTTTTAGAACAAGTCACACTTTTATGCCCCATGGTTTGACAGTGACTGCAAAAAGGAAAAAAGAAAGAAGGTTCAGAACTACTGGTTGTTATAATGATAAAGTTGATTGGGTACTGGCAATGAAACAAAAGAATGTTTGTTACTCAGTGAAACGAAGGAGTTTTTGGTTCGCGAAAACATGTCAATTTAAAAAAATAATTCCAAATACTTATTATGGCAAACGATTAAAAAATTATTAGGAAAAGAGACAAGTGTTGAAAATAAAGTTGGTTCAATGCATAGCGCCGATGATTTTAAAAAATTTTTTGCTGACAAGTTAAAAGTGACCGAAAAGTCAACTGAATGTTTTAATTTTCCAGTTATTTCTACTAATATTATGTTTCCACTCAATCGTTTCCAGTGCTGACTGAAGAACAGATATCTAAAGTTGTTAATTCGTCACCTACGAAGTCATGCTCACTCGACCCAATACCGACGCATGTATTCAAAGAACATGCTGACTGTTTTATTGTTTACTTAACGGACTTAATCAACATGTGCTTAACGAAGGGTGTAATGCCACAGGTTTGCAAGCATGCAATTGTCACGCCAATTCTAAAGAAGACAGGATTAGATAAATTGTCAAATTTGTCTTTCGTTTATAAAATTATTGAACGTTCCGTTGAGTTAGTTTTAAATAATCATATAAATAAAAATGGTATTTGGCCTTCGCATCAATCTGGATACAGAAGGTTTCATTCGACCGAAACAGCTCTATCGGATATATTTTCTCATGTTTATTCAGCAGTTAATGTACAAAAAGTAACTTTGTTGACATTCCTGGACATGAGTTCGGCGTTCGATACTGTGAATCATAAAATCCTGCTGGACAGACTGAAATATTGTTATGGTTTAAATAAGATTGCGTTAGCGTGGTTCGAATCATTTCTTACTGGTCGGACTCAGCAGATTTCTTACTCAGGTGGTCCCTCGGAACCAATGAAACTTACGTCAGGGGTGCCTCAAGGATCTGTTCTTGGACCGATTCTTTTTAATTTGTACGTTGCAGAGATATTGGATTTACTGAATAAAGATGGTTACTATTGCCATGGGTACGCAGATGACATGCTGATTTGCGTTTCATGTTTCCCAGATGAGATGCATACCGTATTAGAGAAACTGAAAAAAACTATATCTGATGTCGGCTCGTGGCTGGGTCAAAGTAGGCTAAAGTTGAATCAGACTAAGACTCAGTTCATGTTGGCTGGTACATGGCAACAAACGTCAGCGGTTGAACCTTCATCGATTAACATCAGCATGACTGATATAAGTTTCAGTAAAACGGTTACCAATTTGGGAATTGTGATGGACTCCCGTATGACAATGGGTTCACAAGTCAGTCCATTAGTTAAAAAATGTATGTTCCAACTACGTCAATTACGTCAAGTCACAAAATCGGTAGATAGAGATACAATGACTCTATTAGTACAAGCTTTCGTCAACTCTAGATTGGATTATTTTAACAGTCTTCTATATGGCATAGCTGATAAACTGTTGTCTAAACTTCAGATGGTTCAGAATCAGGCTGCTAGAATGATATATCGCAAATTAAAATTTGATCATGCATCACCAATTCTAAAGGAGTTGCATTGGCTGAGTGTTAAACAAAGAATCATGTTCAAGTTGGGTGTAATGGTATTTAAAAGATTAAATGGTCTGGCTCCGAAATATTTAGAAGATAAGTGTATTCGAGTTTCATCTATGTCATCACATGGGCGTCTAAGGTCTGCTGATTCAAACACGCTGTATGTTAGAGATCGGAATCTGAATACAGCAGATAGAGATTTTGCAGTTGCTGGGCCTATTTTTTGGAACAGCCTACCTATCGAACTACGTATATCCGGGTTATCATTAGCTGAGTTTAGAAAACGTCTAAAGGCATACCTATTTGGTAACTCCTAGTGATCTCAACCGATGATGGCTTCGCTTTCAACATGCTTCATACGAGGAGAGCGCTGATGAGAAGCAATTATAATTGGCGCTATATAAATACAATATTTGATTTGATTTGATTTGATTTGATACATACAT